AATCATTTTTAAAGTTTATCCAAACATATTAAATTGAGGCCTTAGTGTGATACCCATAGCTGCTTTAGTATATGCAGGTTTAGCATGAGAATCATTTCAACTGTTTTACTGATTTTAATTTTTTTTCAGGCCAAGGTTATGTCTTGCAGCCACTGCAGTGAGATCTTCAGCAAAGAAGGGTCACTACAGGGGGCGGGAATGGAAAAGTCAGGTGACGGAAGCGATGATGAGAAAGATACGCTCATGAAGCACCTGCGGGAGATGGAGTTAGAGTTGGCACAGACCAAACTGCAACTTGTGGAGGCCAAATGCAAAATTCAGGTAAGGCAGTATTCCATCACAGTGAACCAAACATACCTGATGTTTTCTACCATACGTTAACTACCCTTGCGGCAAATCATTTACATTCACAAAAAATGCACTACATGAGCAGTCATCCCCATTCTTTAGTGCTGCTTTCCTTTTAGAGGTGGGCTGACAAATTCTAGACAGAACCGTGAGAGCAAAAACTGAGCTCCCTCACTGGACAAAAACGCGCCTGGACCCTTATATACCCGAGGCCTGGCCGCCGATCTAATCCTCACATCTATTAATACACTAGCTCTTTGTCAAGTCTTTAAGCCACCCTACTGCCCATTAAATAATGAGGGCTGCAATATTCATGCACATTGATAATAGGCCAGTGTTGAAATCTTCAACGGTTACTACACGCACAAAGACCATTTCAGTGATCTGAAGTCATGGTGCAGCATTTCGTTACAAAAACGTTAAATGCCGTATCTGCGCCACTGGAGCATCATTAGCTCTTGTTCCGGGTTGCCTCATTTATTGACTATTGGCTAAGAGTTCTCAGCCAGTGAATGGCCGGCAGGATCAGCATTTGTTTTGCAGTTCTGCAGAAGCCAGATGACATAAACCTGCTAAACAGGCGACTCGGCGCCCAATAGGAACCAGGTACAAAGGCACACTACAGCGGCGCTTCAGTAGTTATAATGTTTGGAGAAATCATTTAACTTCTATTTTATTTAGTTTTTAGCCTGTGTTACATGTACAGTATAAATGTTTAACAGTCTACTAAATACCTTCCAACCTGCAGCCACTTCACATGTAACTGAATAGGTTAGAACAGACCTTTAACAATCATCTGTCAGCTTGAGTTCAGATTTCAGTATGCCTTGGAGGGATACATTGTTCTATTCATGCACCATTGTATGAATTGACATAGATCTTTAGCTATTGTAAAACTACAGCTATTGTGGTGCTTCATAAAATTTGAGACTGGCTAGCCATTACGGGAATTGTAGGTCTACCTTCTAGCCTAAAACTTAATCATTAACACCATCAGTGCCAATGTTAGCCACCACTGACATCCACCCTTTATTTTCCCAGTCCTCACAGCGGCTCTTTCTGCTCTCTTTCACAGGAACTTGAGCACCAACGAGGCGCTCTTATGAATGAGATCCAAGCTGCCAAAAACTCCTGGTTTAGCAAAACCCTGAACTCTATTAAAACAGCCACAGGAGCCCAGCCCACCGCACAGTCCCCACAGGGAGCTCAGGCCTCGAGCCCTACCCTGCAGGCTCCGAAAGACAGTACATAGCACCGACACGGGGCACATGAAAAGAGCACAAGATGACCAAACAGGAAGCAAACAATGCAGGACAGGAGCTCCACCACCTTCGCGTTGCCTTCCAGGAGCGGTTACTACATTTTTTTCATCACCAATGTGCCCTTCAGGCTTCAAACCTCCTTGCACCTGGTCCATTCCGCTTCCTGAAATCTAACCTTTCTTTGAATAGCGGCCACTTTTACACTTTTTCGTTTAAGGACTTGTATTATTTTAGTATAACAGGGCCCAGGGCTCCAGATCGTGTGTGCGTGTTTTGTAAGTATAAATATGTTGCTGTGGATATTATACAAATGTTTATAGAAATGCAACTTTCCATATTTGAGTGAGAATTTTAACATAATGCTGCCTATGGAAATGCTAAATATTTCTTTGTTTTTATTCTTCTCATCTGTCAGTGGGATTTTGCTCCCTCGGACGCAGCATTGTATTCAATGCATCTGGTTACTTTTATTAATCTGCCACAAATACAGAAATTGCCTATTACTGTAATAAAAGTCATTGGCACACCTGGTTTTTCTGTTTATTATACCTGAGATAAATGATATTTAATGTTTGTTTTCTTAGGGAATACAAAGCATCATGGGAAACATAGTATAATTGCAACCTGCTTCCACGGTCTACAAAACCATTTACAGTGCGGCTGTGCAAATGTTGAAGTCAATGATGGTGGTTTCATAAAGATTTCATGTTATATGCCTGTTTTAATGTTGTGACTTTCCAAGTGTTGGGAGGTAAAAAAAAAATTATATATATATATATATATATATATATATATATATAAAACACAAGATCCAGCGCACTCACCTATCCACTAAACAGCAACTTCAATGTTGAAAGATTTTATTAGTTTTTTTTTAAAACACCTAATCTAGGCAAAAATAATGGGGGTTTAGTTACATTATATGATCATACATTGCATAAGCCTGCCACAACGTCAATGTACCCCATCTTTGGCAGGTCCTACACTAACAGCCTAATGTCTGCTCTTATGAGATTAACCACTTACTTGAGGAAAAAAATTCCATCTGGGGCTCTCTGCAGTACAAGGCTAAATAGGGCCCTGGGATGAGGCACCTGTGACAGGGAGGGGTGCAAAACCAAGGAGTTGGCTAGACTCCCAAATATATACATATGAAACAAGGGGGGGTTGGCTGCACTCACCTAACATGCATAAATGGGGGTGCTGCTGGGGGCCAAATAATACAATACACAAGATCCAGCGCACTCACCTATCCACTAAACAGCAACTTCAATGTTGAAAGATTTTATTAGTTTTTTTAAAAACACCTAATCTAGGCAAAAATAATGGGGGTTTAGTTACATTATATGATCATACATTGCATAAGCCTGCCACAACGTCAATGTACCCCATCTTTGGCAGGTCCTACACTAACAGCCTAATGTCTGCTCTTATGAGATTAACCACTTACTTGAGGGAAAAAAATTCCATCTGGGGCTCTCTGCAGTACAAGGCTAAATAGGGCCCTGGGATGAGGCACCTGTGACAGGGAGGGGTGCAAAACCAAGGAGTTGGCTAGACTCCCAAATATATATATGAAACAAGGGGGGGGTTGGCTGCACTCACCTGAACATGCATAAATGGGGGTGCTGCTGGGGGCCAAATAATACAAAACACAAGATCCAGCGCACTCACCTATCCACTAAACAGCAACTTCAATGTTGAAAGATTTTATTAGTTTTTTTAAAAACACCTAATCTAGGCAAAAATAATGGGGGTTTAGTTACATTATATGATCATACATTGCATAAGCCTGCCACAACGTCAATGTACCCCATCTTTGGCAGGTCCTACACTAACAGCCTAATGTCTGCTCTTATGAGATTAACACTTACTTGAGGAAAAAATTCCATCTGGGGCTCTCTGCAGTACAAGGCTAAATAGGGCCCTGGGATGAGGCACCTGTGACAGGGAGGGGTGCAAAACCAAGGAGTTGGCTAGACTCCCAAATATATACATATGAAACAAGAGGGGGTTGGCTGCACTCACCTGAACATGCATAAATGGGGGTGCTGCTGGGGGCCAAATAATACAAAACACAAGATCCAGCGCACTCACCTATCCACTAAACAGCAACTTCAATGTTGAAAGATTTTATTTGTTTTTTTAAAACACCTAATCTAGGCAAAAATAATGGGGGTTTAGTTACATTATATGATCATACATTGCATAAGCCTGCCACAACGTCAATGTACCCCATCTTTGGCAGGTCCTACACTAACAGCCTAATGTCTGCTCTTATGAGATTAACCACTTACTTGAGGAAAAAAATTCCATCTGGGGCTCTCTGCAGTACAAGGCTAAATAGGGCCCTGGGATGAGGCACCTGTGACAGGGAGTGGTGCAAAACCAAGGAGTTGGCTAGACTCCCAAATATATACATATGAAACAAGGGGGGGTTGGCTGCACTCACCTGAACATGCATAAATGGGGGTGCTGCTGGGGGCCAAATAATACAAAACACAAGATCCAGCGCACTCACCTATCCACTAAACAGCAACTTCAATGTTGAAAGATTTTATTAGTTTTCTTTAAAACACCTAATCTAGGCAAAAATAATGGGGGTTTAGTTACATTATATGATCATACATTGCATAAGCCTGCCACAACGCCTGAGATAAATGATATTTAATGTTTGTTTTCTTAGGGAATACAAAGCATCATGGGAAACATAGTATAATTGCAACCTGCTTCCACGGTCTACAAAACCATTTACAGTGCGGCTGTGCAAATGTTGAAGTCAATGATGGTGGTTTCATAAAGATTTCATGTTATATGCCTGTTTTAATGTTGTGACTTTCCAAGTGTTGGGAGGTAAAAAAAAAATTATATATATATATATATATATATATATATATATATATATATATATATATATATATATATATATCTTGAAACTCAAAGTGAGGAAAGCAAAGTTATTTTCCCGGCACAGTACCGCACCCTCCCTCGCGGACCTCCCCCTGTGTTGCAGAAGTGGTGCTGGTTCAGGCTCTGCCAACAGCAGCCGGCAAGGGGGAGGGAAGAACTAATGTGCATGCGCAGCATTAGGGCTTCCTCACAGGAAATCATTATACAATGCTTTCCTATGAAGTTTTGGGTGGTACTTTGATAGACAGCCACTAGAGGTGGAGTTATCCCTTTTATTAAAACCTGCAATAATTACCATTGTTGGGTTAAGGAACCAGGGGCACTGCACCCATACCACTTCAATAAGCTGGAGTGGTCTGGGTGCCTATAGTGTCCCTTTAACTTGTCTTTTAAATGATACAACCTTGTGTTTAAAAGTTGCTGTAAAGATAACATATGTTTACATAACAATCAGGACTACAAGCCACTTAGATACAAAACAGACACTTTATTTACAAGCAGCAGAGATTGTAATGCACTGGATATGTGACCTTCTCCCCTAACTTGCATATATTATATATAAGAATGAATATTTAAAGACACAACATCAGTCTAATTATTTTTATTATAAGAAGTTTCACATCAACCAATACATCCTCCAGGCTCCATGGTAAATCTCTACCAGAGGCTAATAGCCTACAATTCCCAGAATGATCTAAATGCAATAGGTGGCCAGAGAGTCCTGGGAGTTGACTCATGAGATGCCTGGACTACACAGACACAGACTGGAATACACAAACAACCCTTTACTTTACAAGGACTTGAAGGAGTTTTCACTAAACCAGTAATTGGCAATTTTGACCTGTAATTTGAAATACATTGTTTAGTGAATAATTTATCAACAGCCATTATTATCTAACCAGTTTTCTTGGAATAATTCTCCAAGTTCACAGTGTTTTCAGTCTGGCTTATTCCAGCCCAAAATCTCAAACTGACCTTGAGTAAACTTCAGTAATAGTCCTGATACAGTCTGCTGAATGGATAGCATAATTGGTTTAAATTGGTAAGTCAGATAGAATAAACTCCAGATCTGGTTTCCTGAACGCTAGATTTTAAAATCTGCTTGCTTACTATATCGTACAGTTACATGTGTATAATTAATCTCAGCAGCCATGAGATGATAACAACTTGAAGGCTTCTACATTAAAATAAAGAGAATAGCAAAGGTGCAAGGAAAATACAACACATTTTCAAATATAACTATTTGAGGTTAAAATAAGCAGCTCCTGCTTTAGTAACCCTACGGCCACTATTGCACATTTTCAGCCTAAATTCCCGAGCTGGACACATTCATAATTTTTTTCCAATTTGGCTATTGCAGGGTGGATACCAAAAAAAAAAAAAAAAAAGTGGCAGAGCTTATCACAGAATAGTTTCAGGATAAAGAAAGGGGGGTAACCCCTGAATTAATACTTGAAAAACAGAGGAGATAATCCTGAAACCAAAGAGTTACCCTATTAAATTAAAACTTAACTTTTAATAGTATTTTAAAACAAAATAATAAAATGGAAACAGAACAGATGGTTGCGGCCAGAAAAAAACCAAAGTGTCACACTGCCAAACTTTTTCGCTTCGATTAGAATAGAGTACCCTGATGTATCTGCTATCTTATAACAATTTATCAAAAGTAACATCAGGTGCTCCATAATACTTGCAAAAGAATAATAAGCGCTCTCTTCTCAGGGATGAGCTGCAGTTCACCAACAAGGTGTTCCTCTACCTTGTGATAAATGGACAGATAAAATAGAAAGGTGAACAGCGCTAAAAATCAGAAAATGTACATACGTTTTGTAGAAATACTGGCCAGCAGAGTAACTTAAAAAAAGAGAAACAAAAATACAAATAATGGTACAGTATGTATGAACGATATAATTCCACAAGAACAAAGGTGTTATATTCACACTCACACTTTGAGGAGCTATATCAGCTCGGTGTTAAGAGCCTGGACGGAATAATCTCCGTCTATGGATTTCTTGAGGTTCAAGACCGTTGGTGAATTTATAGGTGTAAATATTCGTTACATGAAAAACAAGAGTAAAATACACCACATGGTATAGTACGTAAATATAAAATATTGTGGGAAAAAAAAAAAAAGTGGATTATCTTCCTCACTTGACGCGTTTCGCCGAAGCTTTCTCAAAAGTTCACTTGATGTGAAGTTCACTTTTGAGAAAGCTTCGGCGAAACGCGTCAAGTGAGGAAGAATTTTGGACTTTTATACAGGACTGGTTTTATAGTTTATTATTCACTTTTCACTTTTTGTATTAAAGTATATATATTTTTTTAAACTATCCAGTCATTCCTTTTGTCCTCCTTCCTATCCAATACTGCTTTGCTGCTATACCTGGGTCCACTATATCCCAAGGTGGGGATTATTCCACCTGAAATTCTCCAGACTAGAGCAGGTCGTTGCTGTAGTATATGTAAGTAGGATCATCCACTTTTTTTTTTTTTAATAATATTTTATATTTACGTACTATACCATGTGGTGTATTTTACTCTTGTTTTTCATGTAACGAATATTTACACCTATAAATTCACCAACGGTCTTGAACCTCAAGAAATCCATAGACGGGGATTATTCCGTCCAGGCTCTTAACACCGAGCTGATATAGCTCCTCAAAGTGTGAGTGTGAATATAACACCTTTGTTCTTGTGGAATTATATCGTTCATACATACTGTACCATTATTTGTATTTTTGTTTCTCTCTTTTTTTAAGTTACTCTGCTGGCCAGTATTTCTACAAAACATATGTACATTTTCTGATTTTTAGCGCTGTTCACCTTTCTATTTTATCGCTCCATAATACTTGCCTTTAGAAGATTACTATCATATAACACTAGACGTGATACTCATCTGAAAGATAAGTATATAGACCAAATATATTCAACAATATACCTAAACACGGTGTCTTCAAGGGCACCTAAATAGCTGTACACAGTGGCTGAGAGAATAATCACAATGCTAAGTCTTAGCCATAAGTCAGTATATAACAATTGCCAAAATGAAGGATGGAGCCAAGTCCCGACGCCTGTATCGCCAGTCAGGTGTCTTTTCAAGGGCATACACTATATATACATATACACATACACACTGAATAGGTATAACATAGGTAGACCTAAAAGTGGTCATTCTAATTATAGGTTCGATATGTTTTATGGAATGGCAATATGTTGAAACAACAAATATAAAACTGACCTCACAAAATGGCCAAGATGCTTAATAACATTAATCAAATAACCACAAATTGGGTGTACATAAAGAACACTTGCTAAATACAGTTAGACATGTTATTGTTATGTGACATGACAAAGAGGGATATTGCCTAAATGTTGGTTTTAGTAGTCCAATATGATATACAAGATACCACAAAACAAACAGTTATTACCACTTCATGGAGGTATGAGTCAATGTCACTTCAAAAACACTGGACTCACATACTGTGCTGTAATATGACTGCCTACCGAGGATATCAAATATATGTTTGAAAACCAAAAAGGGAAAAATGATACGCTGGTTTAAAAAGAAAATGTTTATGGGTAACGAGTATAGAGGAGAGAATATTAGCTATAAATTAGGTGCCAATGTATTAGTCACAGAGAAATGGTGTAAAATTGAATTCCTCATGGAGCCCTATAAGGACCAATGTTTTAAAGGTGTAGATCCATTGGGATTCTTTCTAGAGTAATAAGTTGAAGTTGCCTTTTCGAAAGTAGAAACTCAATTTCTATATTGCTTGAAAACTCAAATTTTCTGTGTCTGAATAGCCGGTACGTCTTGCCAATGTATTTGCAAACCGCAGCTACAAGTGATAAGATAAATTAATTGTGTGGAGCTGCAGTTTACAAAACCATTGGCATGTACCACCACTCCTATATTAGAGGACACATCAAATTTAGAGGGCTTGATGTAGTCACTTGCATTGCAGTGGCCATGTCTAATAGTTCCCATGGTTTCAGCTACCCATGTAGAACTGGGTCTTCGTGGTTCAATGTGACTGTGTACAAGTAAGTCATAAAGATTCCTTGATCTACGCACAGTTAAAGCCAGTCTAGAACTTTAAGATTCCTTCAGATCCTAATCATGCAGTAGGATTGGCCAGTTTCTCAGCATGATATTTTTCACAGGTTCCCAAACTTGATCGAATGTGCCAATACACCATGTTTTAGGCGTTTCACCTTTTAGTCTAGACTTTATCAAACTCTCAGCCCTATTCATCTTGCAGACCATTTGAAAAGCTTTCTTTAAAACCCCTATTAAGGTAGCCTTGTGCTTTCAATTGAGAATTCAATTCATTACATTCACACAGAAAAGCTAAATCTTCAGAGCAATTTCTTCTAGCTCTTAAGTACTATCGAATAGGAACAGATTATTTCAGTGTGCATGGTGGCTGTCCCAGTGAAGTAAACGGTTTGCAGCAGTCAACTTTTTATGAAGTTTGGTTAAGATTTTATCATCATCTGTTAGTAAAATCTTCAGGTCTAGAAATACTAATTCATACTCATGGATAACATGTGTAAGTTGTAAAATTATGTCATTTGTGTTAAGATCACTGACATACTTCTCAAACAGAGATTCTGAGCCTGTCCACAAGAGCAGGATGTCCTCAATAGATCTATACCATTTCAGAATGTATTTCTGGTATTCCATACAACAGAATTGACAACATTCTGCTCCCGCCATCCCAGAATAAGATTAGCATAGTTAGGGGGACACAAGCCGTGCCCATAGCATTACCCTTACACTGGAAATAATGTTTTCCATAGAAGATAAATTAGTTGTGTGTAAGGACAACTTTCAGTAGGGACAGCACAAATTCCTTTTGATGGTGCTTGAGAGATGTTTGTTCAAGAAAGTAACGTCATGCTAGAAGATCCTTCTCATTGGGGATACTACTATATAGTGACACTGCATCTAAACTTGCCAGCAATGTACAGGAGAATCTCAAGATTGTTTTTTCCAGGGCTTTCAAAGTTTGTTAGGTGTCCTGCAAATATGATGGTAGTGTAATTACAATAAGTAATTATCTATGAATTGGCTTACTCTTTCTGTCAGGCACTTATTTAGAGACACTATTGCCTAATGTATAATGAAAATTCTTGTGGATTTTGGGTAAGCATTAGAATGTGGCTATTGTAGAGTTATGGGTAGATTCATTTTTTGTTCATCAGATTGTTTCTGTTGTGAGGCTGAAAGTAACAGTTTTAAATTTAGCCAAATATTCTGTATTTATTCAAACTTAATGTGAGATAACAGGAGGTCTCATGTAGGTGCATAATGCACACATAAATTTACATATCCTGCTTCAATAGTACAATGTTATCACCTTTGTCAGCTGGTCTGATCTCCCTATTGGTAAGGGTACTTAATTCAGGTTAGGCCTTATATTTAATAAAAGACTTCAAGGGGACATCTGCTGATCAATTTCCTGTGTAGTCAACCAAAGGAACCTTTAGATATGGCCACTGCAAAGCATGGGACTAGATCAAGCCCTTTAAATTTGCTGTGTCCTCTAAAACTGGATTGGTGGTAAATGCCAATCGTTTTATAAACTACAGCTCCACAAGATTAATATATCTTATCACTTGTAGCTGTGGTTTGCAATAGTGGGTAGGCAGTTGTAGTAGTACAGCATAGTACATGATTAGTGTTTTTGATGTAGCAGCAGTGACTCATACTTACCTCCATGGAAGGTGTTCATAACTTCTGGTTTTGTGCTATTTTGTATAGTATATCATATTGGACTACTAAAACCAATATTTAGGCAACCTTATAAACTATTAGTTTTCATGCAACCAGTCTGTTTAATACTCCTGTATACCGTTACTTAGGTGGAACAAAGATACAAAGTTTAGATGTAGACAATTTGTCTACACCACTATATTATTAAAAGTTAAGTTTTAATCTAATTGGGTAACTATTTAGTTTCAGGATTATTTTTGCTCTTTTCCCAAGTACTTAAAATAACACTCCAAGCAGCAGAGCCCCTACAAGCCGGCTGTGGGGATTATGGCGCCAGGAGTGTTCCGCCAGGGTAGTTGGTCAAACCCCTTCAAGCGTTGGACTAAGTCTGCCAGGTGCCGGGCTCCTCTTCTGCTGTTGGATGCTAAATCCAGGGGTGCAGGCTCTCCGCCAATGAGCTGGCCCAGCACAGTGAACGTAAAGGTAGGTCTTGGCAGGATCGTCCGGATCCAGAAGAAGTGACCAGGACCTGGTATACCTCAGGTAAATTGTCAAGCCATTTTCAAATAGTTTGATCACTTACACTGGGAGAAGGGTACCATAACCACTACTACAGGAGGCTGTAATGGTACTTGATGTGTTCCTTTTAATGAAAAAAAAGTCTAATACAGTGCCATGGGAGTTACAAAATATTAGATCTGTCCACATTTTAATAACATGGACTGGATGTGCCTATTCATTATGAAGTTCACAAGCCTTATACATAATTACATGATCCATAACTGTCTGAAACAGGCTTGGCTTTTAAACAAATTATTCTCAGAGCAAAATCAGAAATATATAGTCCATAATATAAAGCATCACAGAGGATTAAAAATAGAATGACAGAAAAATAATTATGTATTCAATCATTTTACACCTGTTATTTGGTGTAACGCACCATTTGGTTCCCACAAGCCAAATAACAACCCACCCATTATTTGATGTGAATAAGCAGCATGTATCCACAGATAAGTTGCAGGAAAGAATTAAAAGGAAGGAGTTTCATTGAACCATAAAAATGTATAAAATAAACTATTCAATAGTTTGTAAACAATGTGAATCCCTATACCTAGAGGATTCTAGAAGAGTCTGGTTTATCTCAGGACAGGACCCTGAGAACCTTCCATTCCATTATGTCCACCTCTGCTGGGACCAGAATCCAGGTTAGATAAGCTTTCCTTTTCCTCCAGTAGAATCGATGCAGACCGGATTTACACCTCTTGTCCCCATCAATTCCCACTGTCTGGACACCTGACCTTTATATGATACAGCTGGAGTACTTCATCAGAAACAAAGTCTGGTGCGTTGCTCATCAGGTCTCGACCCCGGAAAGATTTGGGAAAGGCAATGACATCACGGATACTTGGTGCACCAGTAATAATTGCAGTAAGGCGATCAAGTCCTATAAAACATGACAATCTTTATTTAAAGCAAGTCACATAAGAGCAGTTTTAGATCCAGCAAATAAAATTGGTTCAGTTACATAGCAGAGGCCTAGATCTGGACCTCATGGGAAAGTATTTTTTTATTTTTATCAAAGATATGAATAAAAATGGATTTATACGCCTGCTTTGTCCTGATATCCATTTTCCTTAGAGAACATCATAATCAAACATTTAAATTGAGTTAAAGCACTGTCACCATCTGGGGTCTTTCCACGTTGTGCAAAGACCACCAACGGTGACTGCTCTGTTTGCAGTGCGGTGTGCAGGGTGTTCCTTGCAGCCTCTGCACTCTGCCAGGAGCACATGTCAACGTTGTATTGTGCATGCGCGATATTGCAACACTGTCCATAGAGAATCCCATGGAATGTGGAGCAAGGTCTATGAAACTTAACTTAAAACTAGCAACATGGGAAGACCGCACGCAAAAAAAAAAAAAAAGTACATCCTTATGATCCCCCCACCAGTGGTCGACAGGTGGGGTATGTTAAAATATTCAAGGGGAGGACCAAGTATCCCCCACCCACTAATCATGAGTTTGGGAGACAAGGATGTCCTCCGTCTTTTCATTTTTAATATATCACCACCCTCTGGACACGTCATCACAGTTCGGAGTCTGAATTACAAAAGCCAAACATTATCAATTTGCATAAAAAAAAAAAAAATGTTCAGATTTTGCAGTCCGAATGGCTCTGTAGGTAGCCAAATGGTTATACCCCAGGCAGACATTAGTAAATGACCTCGATAAATATATCTTTGCATCAATTAAAGCACTCCACGGCACGGGGTGCGAGCAGGAGCAGATGAGAATTCACAGTCACTCTCACAGGGATATATTTACTAAAATGAGAATAGTCAGGAATTTAAAGGGAATATCAAATTTAAGGTCAAAATAGCAAAATTGGAAAAATTCTCCAAGTCAGCTATTGTTCCAGGTCAACTACTTTGGCATTAAATTTAACATTTTCAGAATTTCCAACCATTCTTACTTATAACCTGAATAAGCGAATAACCCTATCAGAGTTTAAATCTTTCACCCTGCTGGACGTGGTGTGAAACATCGTGACAGGTCATTCGGCCTCTCTCCCATGATTATTAGTGTTTCAGAACTCACACTTAAAGTCACATATTAGCTATGTACCATCATCACCCAATTTATTTCATTTCTGAATTGTTAACAAGTGTATTCAGCTCTGAGATAATATAGTTTGAAAATAGTTGTCCCTATCCAAACTGGAGTTAAATTACACTTTTTTCTTTGAGTTGATAATACATGTAGTGAATATAATTTGAATTAAAGCACCAATTGTCTCAACAAACTGGCTTTTAATTAATCATGTTGCTAAATTAAGTAAGAGCAACGCTTACCTAAAGCGATCCCGCCATGTGGAGGAGCTCCAGATTCCAAAGCCTCTAACAAATGAGAGAGAACGTTCGCATCCTCCTGCACACAAATTGGAAAATAAAACCATGAGCTGTAATTCATGCAATACAGATACATCAGACTCAGGTTCAATACTGCCATAATAACACAAAACCTGGTCCACACCAGTCATATATTAGAAAGTCAATTCCATAGATAAGGTCATGTGTGTCTCCTGCTTTATGTACCATCATGTGGACACTATATGAAGCCTGTCATGGTTTATTACATTTTAAAGGGACACCCCAACCATCATAACTAAATAAGTTTCTTTAAAGATAATGGTGCAATTATGGTCTGGTATTTCAACTCCACTTTTTGTATTTGAGCACTCGCATATCTACTTAAAGCATTCGTAGAAGGTATTTTGTCCTGGCAGCATCCCAGCCTTTTTCCGCTTGCATTTTTCCATTGTCTTGACCTTCGATAGTTTGCACGTGATTAACCGATCAAAGTCACCAATACTTTGTATGGCCACACTTTCATATGTCATCAACCAAGGCAGTATTATCATCTGTCAGGCAGGAGAGGTTAAAGGGAATCTCCAGTGCCAGGAAAACAATCAGTTTTCCTGGCACTGCAGGTCCCCTCTCCCTCCCACCCCCCAACCCCCGGTTGCTGAAGGGGTGAAAACCCCTTCAGTGACTTACCAGAGGCAGCGACGATGTCCCACGTCGCTGCTTCTTCCTCCGCCGCTCCTCCTCTGCATTACGTCGGCCGGTGGGCAAGACTGATCCCGCCCACTGGCCCGGGAGACCTAATGCCGCGCATGCGCATTAGAGCTCCCCATAGGAAAGCATGCTTTCCTATGGGGAATTGAGCGACGCTGGAGGTCCTCACACAGCATGAGGACGTCCAGCGACGCTCTAGCACAGGTTTTCTGTGCTATAAAATACTGCAATAATTACACTTGCAGGGTTAAGAGTAGTGGGAGTTGGCACCCAGACCACTCCAATGGGCAGAAGTGGTCTGGGTGCCTGGAGTGTCCCTTTAAAGTAAATGGTGAAGAAGGGCTAGGGATCGACACTGTTCATTTAAGATACAGCAGGAGGTGGAGTGTGCTGTTCAGATATTGCAAGCCAAGTAAGGTAATGCCAGATATATTGTGGGCAATAACAAAAATAACTTTTTAATTCTAATTTCCGAAATTGCAGTAATCGTTTAAAAAAAAGATTTTCCTGCGGATTGCTCCACAATTTTAGCTTTATTCTGGAATTACACTATGTAAATACACTAATTTGTTATGGAATGAAAAGGCAGACTAGTTATACGCATTTGTACCCTGGAATACATGTTTTGGGTCTTGAGAATTATACTCTCTCCAGCTACTGAAAGAATTCTGGACATAAACCACCTTAACGTAAATCATCACCAGGAGTCTGAAGCAGTTGTGAACGTGTTAAGCAACAGGAATCCTCATGCTTGCTGGTGGGAGTATAATTAACACGTACCGTTTCTGTTTCTTTACGTATATTCTAACCTTATTTCTGTCTAGATACAAAGTCAGATTGATTTCTAGAATTGGTTATCAACTACCCAGTGGGAGAACTAATGTAGAGAGTGCCCTGGCGCAAGAAAATTTTCTGCATCCCCTCTAGTACAAGGGTGACCAAAAGGTAGATGCCCATCTATCAAAATCCCACGTTGCTATGACAGCTGGGGATCTACCATTTACCCATCCTTGCAGAGGTTGTGTTTGTGAACAGTGTTTGTGCATTTGAATGTAAGCATGTTTTTGTACAGAGTATGTGTGTGCATGTAGAGTGTATTTGTATGTCCTGTTGCCATTTGAATACAGTGGTTTACTTGCGTGTGGTATTTACATTTATATGAAGGGGTGTATTCATATTTAGTGTTCCTTTAAAAATGCAAGTGTGCTTTTGTGTGTAGGGTTGGTGTTTGTATATAATTTTGGAGTTTGCATGCACATACATTAACAAATCAACACATACAAAGAATGACACACAAACACAAACTTAGATACATGCACTGACACATACACACACACACTGATATACACTGACACTATACACACACACACTCAGATACACACTCCTTGACATACAGATATACACACTGTATGTCAGTGTATATTAAAGGTATGTGTATCTGCGTGTTACACACTGATCCATACACACAAACTCAACTTTTATTTTTATAGTTGCCTCCCTCCTGTTAACATACCTTTTGTGTGCAGGAGAGTGACTTAATTTGAGTCTTGCCATTGCCAATGGGAGTGTGGGTCTGGAGCGGTGTCTACTTTTCTCCTCCCCACTCCTATGCCACCTCCCTCTTTATGTAGTAGGAAGTGATCTGCTTTTCACTTCCTCGTGGCATTGATACTACAGCTGCCCGGTTGTGCTGCTAATGGGCCACTACACCCCTGTTCAGCAATACTCGTCGGGGGGCCTTAAGTCCTTAGGCCAACTGATTTGCCCCCTGAGCGTGAAGGCCCCAGTGCAGTCAGATCGCTGGTATTTCCCTGTTGCAACTACCAGTATTCTTAGTAAGTAACCTTCACAGTCTCTGTATGATGGAATATAAAAGCAATACCATCGCCATCTGAATGAAAGTCGCTTACCTTTAAGACATGTTCTAGGACCCAACGTTGCAAATCAGCATTGTGGATACGGATTGAACCCCCTCCAATTTCACAACCGTTTAGAACCAGGTCATAGTGTTGACTACGGACCTGTAAGGGTAGAGCATACAATACTCTTGAAATTTGTATATAATCCATACATTAATGTTATAGCATCACGAATAACCCAAAGACAAGACCATGAAGTTATCTGCTACATGCCATACTGCTAGGAGATAGTGATGTTCAGGTTTAACACTTCCCAGATACTCAGCCAACCATACTAAGAAGTAAAATCCACATGAACTGGAGTGGCAAAAGCTTAGCCATCACCTTTAGGATAATCGTGATGTGAGGTCTTTAAAGGATGATCTCTAATTCCCAAAAGAAAAAAAAAAAGAGGGTTGCACTCAATCATGAAAATCACAGGGTGCTAACTGAGCATTTGGTCAGCATACCCCATCAATCAAAGATCAAAAGAAAGAATCTCAGGCACTCACTGTGATAACTTCAAGCATGGACACGGCAACATTTCGACCTGTACCCAGGCCTTTATCAAGCTTGATTACAGGTTGAAACGTTGTCGTGTCTAATTAATTGTCAATTATATAAACCAGAGCAAAGAATAATCCAACAATCCATCCATTAAAAGAAAAAGGGGGGTAAAAAATTTACAATTCCTTTTTGCTTCTCTTACAGAGTAAGTTTTACACATTCTACTGGAAGAAAACAAAGGAATAACATAATGGGTTGGGTGTGTATTTACAATGCGATACAGAAAGCTAACTGAACTCTTTCCCTGAGCCTTTCCTCCTTTGTAGTCAGCAGGATTTTCACCTCTCACCTTCTCTGGTTCTGTGTACAAAAGATCCATGTCCTCCGGATTAGGGGCTGTGAAAGGATGGTGGGTAGATTCTAGTTCCTGAGCGTTATCTTCCTTCGGGAGAAACAGGGGAAAGTCCACCACCCACAAGAAATTGTAATCGGTGGGACTGCGGAGAGAAACACCACATTCTTCCAGACGGCAAGCAACATCTAGCCGAAGTTTCCCTAATGCTGTGCACTGAGCAGAAAGATAGAAAAGGAAGAAGAAATATCATTCTCAAGAGCCCATAAATAATAGTTATAAAACGAAAACACTAACTTGATAAATTCTTGGGGATCTTCCTCCCCCCAGACACATGGGTTGTGCTTCTCAGTCGTTACAGTCAACTTCAACTCTCAAAGCACTGAGTACTCCATCAACATTCACAGTTATAGTTCTGATACTTTTTGTAGGGGAAAAAAATATATATACAAACCCCGTCATTATAATCTACAATATTTAATTTCCTAGTGGAGAAGCTCAAATGCCTTCACATGATTTCTGGAACAATGTTGGACTTCTACCATGCCACTTCAACACACCTCAATATGATGTTTGATCACATACCACCACCAGCATCTTTTTTTTGGAAGAGGGAGGTGGGTTAAAAATGTTATTCACCACTTAGTATACTCAATTTGCATATATTTGTGCAACTCTGCTTCGCTATCTCAATTACTTCATCTCAGACCTTGTCTACTGACATTCAATATATTTTCTCTGTTCCATAAAGTACCCTAAAAATCTTCTCTTTATCAACCAGAACATGATTAACACAGTTCAGACTGTTCCATGCTGAGTAAGCTCTGTGAAACGTTACAATATATTCCACCAAACTAAAGTCTCTCATACTGCTCTGCCACTCAACTGCTAGCCAGCTTCGGACTACGATCTGCAGACATCTACACACCCTTTTAGACTGACACTCCCAGACCTGTTATATTAACATTTGGGTCAATTATTTTTGATGAATCAACCTTAAAATATAGTTCATAAATAGAATGCCTGTTTTGACTTCTTGTTTTTTTTTTTTCCCAGAATTCTATCATAATCCTGAAATTCCCCCTAGAAATAGAAGTAGATATTTCTCCAGATCCCTACAAACACTGCTGGCACCGTTCATTTATTTCCCCTCAAAAGTTTCCTAATAAAGGCCTCGATTTGACAATCTTTCTAAACGATTCAATATGGTTTGAAAAACGTTCCAAACGATTTATCTACAACAATTCTCACAGACTTTAATGGGGGCTTCTGCAGGTAAATCATTCAGAAAGCTTATTAAATCAAGGCCACAATATCTACAGTATATTTACATCTTTACTCAAGAGCGGTTCTGGTTTTGTATGGAATAGACAGATTACTAAGGAAATATTCCAAAACAAAACAGGAGTGAATCTGTTAGGAAATATAAGAAGAAAGATGTGTTTCCATTGGTTCTTCTATTTCCCAGGAAGGCTACTGAGGTTACACAGTAACAGGAGATACTTACGGAGATCATCAAGTATATTATGAAGACTTGAACTTGGCATTCAAAGTGTGAGTGGACAAATAAACCTTTTAGTTTTAAATCAACACAGATACACACTTGTGCCTTTCTTATTATCTTCCCTAGCAGACCCACCCCTGTTTTGTTTTTGTATTTATGCTTGAAGACCGAGGAAATATTCAGGCTTGAGTTTTCTGCGTAAGGGAAGTTCAGTTTTATCCTATTAATTCTTTGCACTGTCTTGCAATTATTTAACGGTTGTTCTTGTCTATATATCTAAAGTCTGTAACAAATCATGTATACTTACTCCCTAATTTCCATGCCTGTGATACACTAGCAGGAGAAACAATCATACTACGTCATATTAAGATGGACATTCTCAGGGTGGTGACACTTTGACAAGCATTCCACATTAAATGACCAATGTTTTAAGTTCCAGAACAGAATACAATACACGTGCCCAGACTCACAACTCTGTCATGATCCCCAGCTGCCAGCAGGATGAGGTCTTCAGCCTTAGCTCCCATCGCATCGGTCAGGTCTTTCTTCAACTCGTCACTGATTAATTTCTGCAGAAATCTCCAACTCCCATCGGACTTCAGTACTAGGGGCATCACATCCTGCAAGGATTTACAGTGAAAATAGAAATACAAATCATTCTCACGCAACAAACTTCAAACAAAACAAGAGTCTGTCCTATAAAGAGCCACACACCTTCTAGTTACCTGTTTATACTGATCTTTAATTATCTTCGTCATGGAATCCAAATCTTTCCTCTTCAGATATTTCTATTAAAACAAGATATCAGAAAACAATGTCATCCTTATGTCTTTCCTTAACAGAGAGAAATAGAAAGATGAAGCGAATTAAATGTGTTAAAGGGTACTTCTTAGTACCATATCTTCAGCTCACTGCCAAGGTTACGGAGAATAAATTGTATCTCTCTTATGCCATACAAACTTTAAATTATAAGTTTGGGAGGGGGGTGGGGGGGGGGGGGCAATGGGGACATCACTTGGAAAGCCTCAAACCTACATTGACAGAGTACACTGGGGAACAATTTACAGGAAAAAAAAAAAAGGACAAACTCTGAAAGACCCAGTTCTGAGATATTTTAGACATTAAATTTCCTCATTCCTCTGCTCTGCTTACATATCGTAACATAAGAGGACACTAGACATTCAGTAGTATTGAGATCTAAATTAGCTGATATAATATCAGGATATAACATCAGAAATGACACGAATAGTGTAAATGAGAAATGGTTAAATTGAAATATCTGGCTCAAAAGAGAAATGTTCAATTTCTCATGTTATAAGGATGATTTATTTTAAAATAGTAAATAGTTAACCCTCATAACTTTCATATTTGTGTCTAATCATTAATCTAACGATATTGTTGCACAGTTTTTATTATAATAGACATATTAGCTCACATTAAAACCACAAATGTTTGTGAAAACAACTGAAGTTCATTTATTGTATAAAGTTATTTTCTACTACACTGTAGATAATATAAATGGCTGATTATGAACAATCAAATTCAAACACAGGGGAGCAGGTAGAGAGAGCTCACCATTAAATGGACACTACAGCTTATTGTATTCGTTCTGGTGAGTATAACCATCCCCTTCAGGCTTTTTGCAGCAAACAGTTTTTTTTTTTCAGGGAAAATTCAGTGATAACATTACATCCTAGCTATTCCTGCATTGGACACTCCCCAGATGGCTACAAAAGAAGCATCCTGGGGTAGTGCTGCACAATGTGTAGTACTGCCATTCAGTGTCTCCACCCTCTGCATGGAGACACTGACCTTTCCCTATAAAGATTTAATTTAATGCATTTCTATGAGGAGATGCTTATTGGCCAGGGCTGTGTTTGGCTTGTACTGGCTCTGCCCCTGATCTGCCTCCCTGACAAACTCGGACAATCCTATTTGGCTCAGAACAACACTTGGGATGATGTCACAATCAATTTATACATAAACTATTAATATTTTCTAACTTTGTTGAAAGAGATTATTATTTTAGAAACCAAAAAAATTGCTCAACAACTCAAGAGCCAGACTTTTTTTGCTATTATTAATACGTGTCTTCATTGCAGCAGCTTACAACCCAGCTGGTATAGCATGAATTACAAATTAAAATCTATATATATATATTTTATTCTTTTTAAGGACATTTACCGCTCCCTCTGGAATGTGAATGGCTTTTACACAGCCACGGGGCTTATTCAAGATCTCTTGTACAAATCCCAGCTGCGCAGCACTAAAAACAGACGTAACATCAGTAATCTGAAAATGAGAGGAAAAAAAATATCTGTAAAGTGCCATTTAAAAAACAATTAACACGCAGTGACACAAAGGGCTCCGCTGAAGTTAAAATGGTCAGGAATTCAATGTGAATTTCAAATTTAAAGTCAAAATAACAGAAGTGGAAAAAGTCTGCTTGGATGTAAAGTGCTATGGAATTTGTTGGTGCTATATAAATATAATAATGTATCCAATCCAGCTACTTTGACTTCAAAGTGAATTTTACTTTGAAGTCACTTTCAATTCCCCACAATACTCCGGTTAGTAAATAAGCCTGATAATGTTATAAAGGATTAGATTTACAAGTGGAATAAAATCTATACAAACACTCCTCACTCATTAGCAGACATGCACCCGCCTGGCCTCTTCGCGTTGCAGAAAGCCAGTTACGGTCCCATTCTCGCACTCACACCCCAGACTCTCGCCTGCAGGACTCCTGTAGGATTGCCCCCTCCATATGGAATGCTTTCCCACCGGACGACATCTTTCTCTCCCCGTCTCTGCAATCACTAAAAAAATTCCCTAAAAACACACTTCTTTAGAAAAGCCTATCAGCTCTCCCCTTAACTCCACATCTCTTACACCTCTGCCGTCTCCCACCTACTGTGCTCCTTCCTCCCAAAAACTTTTTCCCATCCTCTGGTACATTCAGATCACTTGATTCCCTTTGTGTATTTGTGCTTCATCCGTTTAAATTGTCCCGTACGACATACAGGTTTTGTTGGAATGAAATATTTGTCTTGATTATCGTTTGTACAGCGCTGCGGAATATGTTGGTGCTATGTAAGAAAATTGTAATTGGGTTCAATGTGGTGCACATGCAACTGCTGCCAGTCTCCTTATTTACTAATAGATATGCTGACAGTGCAGTGGTGTAAAGATTATTAAAAGATTTTCAAAAATTAATTAGGAATAGATTTTTTTTTACCTTGAATATTTATAAAAAAATACATATATTTTGTAAAATTTTATAAAACAGACACTATTAGAAGAAACCTGACCCTATCGTTGGGCTAAAAAAAAAAAAAAAAAAAAAATACATACCAAAGGAAGTGCCATTCCTTGCTGTTCTCATCCAAACCTGGTCTGTGAAATTACGCTTGAGGAAACAAGGACTACCGCTGGGCAGGAGCGCCGCTGATTGAGTTTGAGTGGTTTTCTGATGTTTTAAACCAATCAGTATCTCCCCATTCATAAAAAAGGATACATTTGCCACAGTGCCTTTGGAGTCATTTTAGATTAAAAAGTGACATTTGGGATACAATGGATATCTAACCTTCATCTGAAAGCGAGTATCGGGTTTGTCACAGCCATAACTGCTCATTGCCTCGGCATAGGTCATAATGGGGAAGGGATCTGGAAGGCTCCCCTTCTCCTTCGGCCAGGAATATCGCAACAATCCCTCAATCAGGCTCCGAATCCCAGCCTGATCCACAAAGGACATTTCAATATCAACCTGCACGTTAATAAAAGTTATAAGGTGTACAAATGTCATCTGAGGTAGAAGATATTACATATTGCACTAAACTCAACCATGTCGTCATAAAGTCTATCAATGGTTCTCCCCCTATGTGCTTCAAACTTAAAGGAACACTGTGGGCACCATAACTACAAATCAATGAAGGTGTAGTCTTATCTTATAACTATTACACTGTTTTTGAACAGATTAACACTTAACATGTCCCCAGGTGTCTGTCTCTCCCTCTCCTTTGGCTAGTGTAGTATTAACACGAACAGTGAGGAAACAGCAGTGATCAGGTAAGACCAATTCAGCTTACACTCTCATCCTATCGTGTGTCTCTCTCTCTCTCTCTCTCTCTCTCTCTCTAAGGCGGAGGGACACAATTCAATTCTGAAAAACAATCATTAAAGACTAGATTGAAATGATTACAGATTGATACAGCCACTAATACCCAAAGGTTTAAATGCCTATATCAATGTTTTGTGGTTAGGTATTCAAATTGCAATTCTTTATGACATGCATATACTCAGTGTATAATTTTGTAAGTAAATACCACAATCAAGTTGGTGCTACAATAATGTGTCTGGTCCAACCTGTGGAGATGCAATAAAATATCATGGTGAGCCAGATTTGAGTCCCAACCCAAAAGTTTAAAACCAATGCTTTACGTTTTCTAAATCACAGATACACAATGCTTATCTCTGAGCAGAAAAGCTTAATATTTATTGAACACTGAGATCTATTTCAGGACCTATTACACAGACAAGCTGGACAGAGCCAAAGAGACGTCACCTGTGTAAACTCTGGCTGGCGATCTGGTCTTGAGCCTTCATCACGATAGCACCTCGCTATTTGAAAGTACCTAGAAATAAAAATGATAATTTATTTTAGCATCATCTACTGGCATCTGCACTCAGCAGATAAAACAAAAGGAATAATGATGGAAGTTTTGCTGTGTTTGCATTGTGCATTTATCAGTCTGTTAAAGAAATACTCTGGATATCACAACAAATTCCTCGGAATGAAGTAGTTATTATGGGGCCAGGAGGTCTCTGACACCGGCTTTTTTTATTTTTATTTTTTTATTCTTTATTTGTATTGACAGCATTTGATATGATTTGACATTGCCAACAATGTAGTAACATGTCGATGCAGCATACGATATTACAGTATGTACAAGTTACATTAGTTGTGCCTTAAGGCCCTTATACGAGCACATGCCGTACAATACTTTTCTTGTTTTATTAGATAACGTAGAACGAACCGAATGAACTTAAGTAGAAAGGGAGGATTAGAAGCAAGTAAGAAAGGTGTGCAGAATAAGAGAGATTGTCCCCTGAGAGTGAGATGTGTCCTGTGATATGTGTGAGCTTGTTCGTTGTGTGTTGTCCCCTCCGCAGAGTGTTCTCTGTCCCCCCCAGTGGCTCTGCCTGCCCTCCCCAAGTATCGCCCAACCAGCCAAGGCTCCTTTGTGGATCGGAAGCCGTGACCCCGCGCCCCAGTCCCCACTCGGCTATGCCAGGACCAGAGTCCACAGGTGGCCCGAAGGACAGTACAGAAATGAATAAGAAGAGAAAGGGGAAGAGAGTTTTGAGTTTCCATCACCGTCGCCTGTGGCCTCTTAATCAAGTGTATTTAGGTAATCCATTCAGGGTTCCCAAACTTTGAACAATTTGGATTCTGAGTTTCGCACTTTGGAGGGGACTTCTATTTTGAGCCATGCCAAAGCTATTAGAGTCAGTAGTTTGTGTATCTGGGTAGGCCCTCTCTGGGGTGCGATAGGAGGAATTTCCATGGGGACAAGGTTATATGCATCTGCAGTACCTTGGAGGTTAGGTCCCTGACTCCCTTCCAGAAACTGTGCAGTTTGGGGCAATCCCACTCCGTGTGGAAGTAGGTCCTCTTTTGGCTGCACATTCTCCAGGATAAGTCTGTTGGGTGCACCGGCTTATCTTTAATGGGTAAAACGTTAATGATTGGTTTAATGTGAAAGTCTAGAATCCAGCCCTACTGAAGTCATGAAGGTGCCCGGAGTGATCTTTTAATGGTCTTGTTTATTAGGTTTTTAATTCCACATGATTATTCATTAAAATGAGAATTGTCAGTGATTCACAGAGAGTTTTCAATGTTTTTGGTTCACTAGATTACCTAAAATTTGAAACAGACTTTAAATTCTTGACAACACACTTTAATGAATGACCCATCTACTAAAGAGTCACTCATCACTGACCTGTCCAGTCCTCCAACCATTAGAAGCTGTTTGAATTGCTGTGGGCTCTGCGGCAGGGAGTAAAACTTTCCATGTTCTTGGGTGGGAACCACAAACTCCTTGGCACCCTGTCAGCAGAAAAACAATGGCAGCAACTAAGAAACACTGGATGCTCATCTCAGACTTGCATCTCCAAAACTCTCGGAATCAGAAATTGTAAACATATGAAGTCTTGCGTTTTCATGGAATCATTATTCACATCACTCTGCTCCACAGCTTGATTATTGATAGAAGTCCATTATGATGCAATACTTACCCCCGGGGTCCTTTTAAATAAAGTTGGGGTCTCTACATCCACAAATCCTAAGTAAAAAAAAAAAAAAGGAGTCAGTAATCGTTTAAAGTTACTTATTCAACAAAATGAATGTAAGCTGTCCCTTACCATGCTGGTTACATAGATACTCTCTCATTCTCATTGCCATACTGGATCTCAGGCGAAGGTTGTACTGTAGCTGGGAGCTGCGCAGATCCAAGTAACGATACTGCATCCGCAAAGACTCTGATTTCTAATAGTAATTAAAATGTTAAAAAAAAATTAAAAATACCAAAAAATCTATTCTGCAAATTTTTAAACGTGTTTTGAACAGTGGCTAAAGAGATACATCTACATCAAGTTTATCCAGACATGGTTTGTCAACCTATTAGTTCGCAAAGATTTAAGGGAACCATAGTGCAACAAAGGCTGCTAGGCCAAGTTTAAACACTCCAAGTGAATATGATCCACTGAGCATCTACCAGATGTATTCGGTACATTGGGAGGCCAGGTCAGGAGTCGTAGTTTAATTTACTTATGGCATACCCTCCATCAAACTTTTGGAATAAGTTCTTAATTTCAGAAATGGCTTTTGTGGTTTATTTACTTAACTAAGGGTTGGTAGCCAATAGTCAAATGTTTAACCAGCAGGGGCGACATTTGTCAAAAATTGAGATTTACCTTCACAACGTCTTTGATCTCAAATGGCAGTTTCTTACAGGGGTTCAGGATTTGTGAGTGGCTTGCCTGAACTTCAATCTCGCCAGTAGCCATTTTCTAAAAACATTGACAGATCCAAGTACAGAAAAAATTTTTATAATAAAATTAGATGGAATAACGCCTTAGCTGTGCATTATTTTTCAACATACACACAACAGTACTTTAATTGCGAAAGGTAAATGAAATTCAACTCACTGGATTCTGTTGACCATGTGGCCGAGCAATCACTGTTCCTTTGACCAGCACCACAGATTCTAAGGTCGCCTCACTCAACATATTCTTCAGAGCCAAATTATGCTTCAGATGGAAGAAACAACAGTGAAAACATGTTTAACACTCTGGCACAAAGCTTGTCATTTACCCAAAGCCGATCACCGCCTTGTACCTCATCCTGAGGAAGAATCACCTGGGTCAACCCATGGAAATCTCGTAATACCACGAACAGCCCCTGTCTGAGCAACACAAACAGTATAACCTTTTACTATCACCCTTTTACAAACTCAATGTTTTGTTAAAGTACATTATATTGGATGAAAACGTTATTGTACAAAATGACGTGTCACTGCTGTGATTATACAGAAAGAATCATGTAACTGACCATACAGGTAATGTTCAGGAAGCATTTAAAAAAATACTGTACAGATATTAAACAGTAACCGATGGGGATAGGCCACCTCTGGAACTTTATCTGCTGAGAAATGTAACTCCCACAGTGCAACAGGCTGACTGGGGATAGGCAGTCCACAGCAGCTGGTGTGTGCCATGTGACCAATTGAGTTCTTCAATAAACCTGTACTGAGGAGAATTTGGCAAGGAGAAGACAACATGGCTTACATATTTTCCCCCAAGTTGCTTTTATGAATGGGAAGCCAGTGAGTAACTGAGAGCGTCAGCTGAATGCTCTAAGCCAGGGTTGTCAAACATGCGGCCCCCCAGATGTTGCTGAACTACAACTCCCATGATTCCTTCAATGAAACAGATAGCCAGGGAATCATGGGAGTTGTAGTTCAGCAACATCTGGGGGGCTGCATGTTTGACACCCCTGCTCTAAGCCAATCAGCAATGCCCCTGCCTGTGACAGTCCTAGGCTTTCATTTTCAACCTTTTCAGCAAGTGAAAACTGGAGGGAGCAGAGGGATCTGGTGCTGGAGACGAGACTTTGTGTTTAAAACATTTGTGAACCATTTATCCCCTAAAGGTAAGCCAGCGCCGGTGATCTCATTTCATTTCCATGAAGTTCCTTTAACAGGTAAAGTAAAACAATAAACATTCAAGCAGTGATTACTAGGTGCCTTGGTTTAATCATATACGATTTTCCTTAAAGGAACACAAACATTAGGAATACAAGATGTATTACAGAAGTGTCCCTGCTGCTGCTGTTTACATTATTGGGCCCCCTATAGTTACTAACAAAATAAAGTGAAACTAACCTCTCATCCAGTGGTACCCCAGTCTGCCCATGTATGCCATCCCTCCTTCTCCATGTGAGATCATCCAAAAAAGTGATCTCGCCAATCAAATGCTTCTACATTAAAAAAAAATGCTTTGATAGTCGTACTGCGCATGTGCAACAGTCACCACACTGTGCCAATAGGATTCTCCTCATAGAGAGGCATTACCATGCATCTCTAACGAGAGACTTCCCTGCTTTCAACACGGTCATGAAACTAAATGTGAAGATCATACATTTTTTTTTACAATCTTCACAAAGATGTGGCTCTAGAGGCTGTTTTGACTGATTGACAGCCACTAGAGGCACACAGGCTGACAAATATAAACATTGTCAGAAATATTTAAAGTGGCTCTGTCCCTTCTAAGTATTTCATAAAGCTAATCTTGATGAAATACTCTATGATAATGCTCATGAAATACACGTATGGACTGTGTTGAAATTACATTGAAATTCCACCACAATCAAAACGATACCAAGAGATAAAGAAGACCCCTGTAAGTGACAGAACTACTACAGAATTTAAGAACTGACATTTTATACAATGTAACATTTTAATTCTATTTGTAATGTTTTTACTATAGTTCCAAATGTAACAATGTTGGCTGGCTCCCAGGGACTAGTAACATGTAATGCAAATACATGAAACCTACTGTATAATACAGAAACATTTGCAAATAGCACTTGGGAGATCATCAAAACTCAATTTCTCCTCCCAAGAAAATTGTTTAAAAGGTGTACTAAACCCTAATTGACTAATACTCAAAACAAACCCTTGAAAAAGGTGTAGAAATGCCAGGTGGTGTAACCAGGTTAATTTACAGAAGTGCCAATTTCTATTGAAATCTGAAATAAAGAGGATACCCTAGGGGTCTGGAGTGTCCATTTAAATAACAATAGCATATGGGATTATTCACTGAAGAGTAAATTGTTAGGAATTCAAAGTTCTAGGCTCAAACCGCTAAAGTGGAAACACATGGTACTGGGTATTTTGGCCTGGTATTTGAAATTCACGTTACATTCATTATTTAGTGAATATCTTTGAGAACAGATTCCTGATCCATTAAAAAAAAAAATTAATCCATTACCTTCCCAGGCACGCCTGTTACAAAGAATCAGTACATTACCTCTGATACTGCAGCCAGCCGCACAGAGTCACCTCCCGGCCAATATCTGCAGAACACAACTCTCCACAAGTATGAGAACGTGAAGCAAAACTGTTAAAATCTAAGAAATCAGGAGGTTCTAGATTAGGAACCAGACAAAACAAAACTGTTTACATTACAATGAGAATTAGAGCTTGGTTGGAATAGACATTAGTGAGACTCAGGCAACTGCTTACAATAAATAGTTTATTATTATACATGCTCTAACTCCCTCAAAGCAATAGAAACCGCTCTGACACAAGGAACAGGCTAACATAAGCTCTTTTTTTTGTCCCCTTGAAGTGCCCGGTTGCGTCGAAACGCGCGTCTAGACTTTCATAGACTGTGCGTGGTCATGCCGACATGCGGTGATGCTGTGCACTAAGATATACCTCCTGCAGATCTTTACTGGATTGGGTCACACACACACACAGAGATTTATCCTGCCTTTGTCATTTATTTTTACCATATATTTTCCATTATTTATTCTTTTCTAACTAAGCTGTTTTTGGATCAGTAGCCTTAGGATGAAATAAAAACCAGGGGGCAAGGGATCCAAGGATAGGTGCCCTCCAAGGCACAGAATAGGAATTTATTTATAGATCTATTGGTATATTTCCCCCTTTCCACCCTTCTTGTATTTATTTTTATTTGAATTAGATTTTGAGGCTTTCCCTATTTAGCAGTCACTTCTAGATAGTCACTTTTTGCTCCAATGATCTAGGACTTGCTCATATCAGATATTTAATATTCTGCTATTGCTCTTGGACTAACCAAGGGCATAAATTAGATTTAGTGACTATGTAACTGGTTATATTAGAGTTCTATTTATCTGTCATTCTTTGGTTTGGGCTACATTAAGTTACACAATAAGTTGAAATTTTAATATGTAACCAAGATTTGTCTCCTATTTATTAAGATAATAAAGGTTATATATATATATATATATATATATATATATATATATATATCTTATTGATGTTATTGGATTGGATCTTTTTTTAAGGCAAAAATAAGGTTATTTGTAACTGCAATCAGGCTGGATTTTGCCCTGTGCAATTTTTCTATATTTTTTTTTGTTGGTTTTATTTTTTGTGTAAAACTGGTCGCTAGGTTCTTTTTTTTACAATTGAAGAATGTGTTAGCAAACATTTGATTGTACATAATTAACATCTGTCAAAAAAGGTCAAATTAATCCACTTCACTGAACAATTAGGGGGAAATTCCTGACATGAGTTCCAGTCTTTTGTAAATCCAAATTCATTACAGCTACAAGTGACCCATGATCAGTGGTGCAGTAATAGAACTCCGGGTAGCTCTAGGTGAAAATATAGGGGTCTGCAATATAACAAAATCCACCTGTTTCAAATGTTTATTTCTAGAATGGTGGTATTTTATTTGAAGCCAAATCTTTGCTCAACACACAGCAAAGCTATTTGTCTGGCAAATCCCTGACACTTAAAGTGTTACTCCAAGCACCATGACCACTTCAGCGATTTAAGGAGCCTGGAGTTTGGATGAGCAGCGATTCATTTCGAAAGGTTGCAAATAAAGAGATTAACCCCTCTGCTGCCAGAAATGTAACACCAGCTCCAGTGTCATAACTAGAGTGTCAGTTCTGTGCACAGAATGACAGTCATTGGCTTACAGCGACACTCTCAATCAATGAATGTCAGCCCACAATGCTTCCAGTTTCTGCAGTACCTAGAAGACCATCACTGGATCACCAGAGAAAATCAGAGCCTGGAGGGGACCAAGGTAAAGGGATAAACGCTGCTAAACTGTTAGTCCCATTACTGGGGAACAGGACCAGGATCCTCCTGGTATCATAACCACTACAGCGGCGACCACTTCAAAACAACTTGGATTTCCAAGAGACTGGAGTATATGTCAGGAATTAGCACTGAATTGTTCAGTGAGGAGGATTCATTTGACCCTAAGGGAGAAGTACTAATTCAGCATCGGTATTATTTTTGCATAATTAAATGGAGCACTGGATATCTAAACAGTTATAACACTCTCTTATTAACAATCATAGAGGACCCTTATTCAATAAAATGACACTGTAGGCACTACAACTACGTCTTCACATTGAATTGGTTAAAGCGGGCGATCAAGGTTGATGCTTGAAGGAACCCTTTAGAGTGTAAATATTTAAAAGCCAGGAGTCGATAGCAAATTCTATGGATGGAAATGTAGAAGTGTGGCAGAGGTTACCTGTGGAAGCCTGTAAATAAAGGCTTGGTGTATGACTTGTGAATTTTCTCCTGCATGACACACACGTCGCCTGGAAAAGCGATGGACGTCTCCTTGCAAGACTACATCCCATCAATAACCGGACACCCAACCGCAGCGCCATGCTTCCGCCTGCTAGGAGGAACAGTCTAGATTTAATGCCACTGGTAATGGTCAAATCATCATTTTTAATTTAATATACTCTTTTCTTTCCCCCATACCTAAATACACAATTTAGTAGATTTTAAGGAACACATTCTGGGCCCTTAGAACACGTTACAGTTGAAAAATAAAATCGATTTAGGAGTGTTCCTTTAACATACTGGATTCGCTTTGCAGGCACCTCTGGGAATTTGCAGCAAGGGTCAGGTGAGAACAGAGACAACATTGCTGGAGCGGTCATCTCTTTTCTCACAATGTGTAACTTCTCCCATGCATGTGATCACTGCTAGATGTACTAGACCTCAGCTCTGCGCACCTCTAATTGGTCAGCATAGCACCCTAATCCTCCTATCAGCAGCTGGAAAATAGTTGCTGAAGGAGGTGTCCGAATCAAATCTTGCACCTCAAAAGGCAGAGAAAAGGCAATGTTTACATTGCTGGCTAGTAACTCAGACAGCCTCTAGAGGTGCTTTCTAGTATAGTGCTGCACAGTGTGCAATACCTACTTTCAGCACCTCCATGCTCTGCAAGGAGATTATTATGTTATTTATATAGCGTCATCAAATTCCGCAGCGCTTTACAGTGGGTGGACGAACAGACATGTAGTTGTAACCAAACAAGTTGGACACACATGAACAGAGAGGTTGAGGGCCCTGATCAATGAGCTTACATGCTAGAGGGAGTGGGGTAAAGTGACACAAAAAGGTACACAGCTCGGCCACGCCACACAGGAGTGACTGGCTGGAGGGGAGTTCTGTGCAAATATACACAAAATAAATACACAGAAAAATTAAACACAAGTTCTACATATCCCTTTTAGTGCTGATAGTCTGTACTAGAGCCAAGTAAGACTGAAATCATTTGAGCAGGATCCTCATCAACCTATTGTTCCTGCAACATTTTTTTCATTGTCTAATGAATTGTTAAAAATCCCTCCTTTTATAATATCGTAAAGTGTTGCGGAATAAGTTGGTGCTATATAAATGCCAAAAAATAATAAATGTCATTATTGTTATTGCCCTTTGCATAGCGCCAGCTTAATCCGCAGCACTTTACGATATTATAAAAGGGTGGAATTTAACAATAAATGAGACAGTTACAAAGTTTTACAAGAACAATAGGTTGATGAGAACACTACTCACATGAGCTTACGATATTCATATCCAACCAAATGAAGACCGAACCCAAATTCAGCCAAACTCAAGCAGTGCCCAGAGTGGTCCTTTAATTTGCATGGTATGCCCTGGCAATGCCTTGACAGACTGGATTTGTAATGCAAATTTAAATTAAAAAACAAAAGCACCCAGAATGTATAAAAACACAACCCATTGCTAGATTTTACTTGTGTTTTGGGGCTGTGCACAATGTTTATTAGAACCAATTCTAGAACCCATTCAATAAGCAGCACTCACCCAGCTTGCAGTGCTGCCAGGCTCCTGCACTGATAGAACACCGGGTATCACAGACACACAGAGCGTCCTTCAGAGACCACGTGATGTCAAGCCAGAAGCAATCGATGACCGATACAAGAACTGTCAATGAGTGCCCAGGAACAGCAAGGCATCCCGGGAGTTGTAGTTGTACTCGCCCTAGGAGGTGTGAACCATGCTGTATAACGTGCCTCTAATCCAGCTATCCCCTATATATAACAAATGTAAACTGCCTGGAACAAATTCTGTGGGAATCACATCACTATTAACCCTAAATGGCATAACTCCCAGAAGACAAATAAACCATACCTCAAACATCGGATTCGTGTCTAATAACCATCTTATTTGCTTTAAAATGCTTGGTTTGAACAATTTTTTAATTTTTTTATTATTATTATTATTTTTTAAATAGCATCTCAAATGGTCGCGGTCGGCCATTTTTGTTGCGGGCACGCTCGCCCGACCCTTACGAAGGATGGGTGCGTTCCAAACGTGCGTTCCAGGCCTCGCTCCACATGAAACTGAGCTATGAATTGTTCCACCCGCCCAACCGTCGCGATGGATGGAGGACTGAGAGATGGACACATTTAAATAAAGCTGTGTGAGAGCCGGCGGTGGCGGCGGACGGTGAGCTCTGTCTCTGTCTCTGTCTCTGTACATGGGACGGACACACACTCAGTGCACACACAGTCAGTGACACACTATGCTCTGTTTATTGTTTATATTACAGGGTACACCATGATATACCACTCACTAACATCAGCAGCACTGTATCTACAGCCTGATCAGGGCAACAGTGTTATAATATCAGATCCAGGCAGAAACCGTTATGTTATCAACATGGAGAGAGAGAGAGAGAGAGAGACTGACTGTTATATTATCAACATGGAGAGAGAGAGAGTTATATTATCAACATGGAGAGAGAGAGAGAGTAATATTATCAACATGGAGAGAGAGTTATATTATCAACATGGAGAGAGAGAGAGAGTAATATTATCAACATGGAGAGAGAGTTATATTATCAACATGGAGAGAGAGAGAGTTATATTATCAACATGGAGAGAGAGAGAGTTATATTATCAACATGGAGAGAGAGAGAGTTATATTATCAACATGGAGAGAGACAGAGTGTGTTATATTATCAACTTGGAGAGAGAGAGAGTAATATTATCAACATGGAGAGAGAGAGAGTAATATTATCAACATGGAGAGAGAGAGAGTAATATTATCAACATGGAGAGAGAGTAATATTATCAACATGGAGAGAGAGTAATATTATCAACATGGAGAGAGAGTTATATTATCAACATGGAGAGAGAGTTATATTATCAACATGGAGAGAGAGAGAGTAATATTATCAACATGGAGAGAGAGAGAGTAATATTATCAACATGGAGAGAGAGAGAGAGTAATATTATCAACATGGAGAGAGAGAGTAATATTATCAACATGGAGAGAGAGTAATATTATCAACATGGAGAGAGAGAGAGTAATATTATCAACATGGAGAGAGAGAGAGTAATATTATCAACATGGAGAGAGAGTTATATTATCAACATGGAGAGAGAGAGAGAGAGAGTTATATTATCAACATGGAGAGAGAGAGAGTTATATTATCAACATGGAGAGAGAGAGTTATATTATCAACATGGAGAGAGAGAGTTATATTATCAACATGGAGAGAGAGAGTTATATTATCAACATGGAGAGAGAGAGAGTTATATTAACATGGAGAGAGAGTTATATTATCAACATGGAGAGAGAGTTATATTATCAACATAGAGAGAGAGAGTAATATTATCAACATGGAGAGAGAGTAATATTATCAACATGGAGAGAGAGTAATATTATCAACATGGAGAGAGAGTAATATTATCAACATGGAGAGAGAGTTATATTATCAACATAGAGAGAGAGAGAGTTATATTATCAACATGGAGAGAGTTATATTATCAACATGGAGAGAGAGAGAGAGTTATATTATCAACATGGAGAGAGAGAGAGTTATATTATCAACATGGAGAGAGAGAGAGTTATATTATCAACATGGAGAGAGCTATATTATCAACATGGAGAGAGAGTGAGAGAGAGACTGTTATATTATCAACATGGAGAGAGAGAGAGAGTTATATTATCAACATGGAGAGAGTTATATTATCAACATGGAGAGAGAGTGAGAGAGAGACTGTTATATTATCAACATGGAGAGAGAGAGAGTTATATTATCAACATGGAGAGAGAGAGAGTGTAATATTATCAACATGTGGAGAGAGAGTAATATTATCAACATGTAGAGAGTGTAATATTATCAACATGTAGAGAGTTATATTATCAACATGTAGAGAGAAAGTGTTATATTATCAACATGTAGAGAGAGTGTTATATTATCAACATGTGGAGAGAGTGTTATATTATCAACATGTAGAGAGAGTAATATTATCAACATGTAGAGAGAGAGTGTAATATTATCAACATGTAGAGAGAGTAATATTATCAACATGTAGAGAGAGTAATATTATCAACATGTAGAGAGAGTGTAATATTATCAACATATATAGAGAGAGTGTAATATTATCAACATGTAGAGAGAGAGTGTAATATTATCAACATGTAGAGAGAGAGTGTAATATTATCAACATGGAGAGAGAGAGTGTAATATTATCAACAGGGAGAGAGAGAGAGTGTAATATTATCAACAGGGAGAGAGAGAGAGAGTTATATTATCAACAGGGAGAGAGAGAGAGAGAGTTATATTATCAACAGGGAGAGAGAGAGAGTTATATTATCAACAGGGAGAGAGAGAGAGTTATATTATCAACATGGAGAGAGAGAGAGTTATATTATCAACATGGAGAGAGAGAGAGTTATATTATCAACATGGAGAGAGAGAGAGTTATATTATCAACATGGAGAGAGACAGAGTGTGTTATATTATCAACTTGGAGAGAGAGTGTGTGTTATATTATCAACTTGGAGAGAGAGTGTGTGTTATATTATCAACATGTGGAGAGAGAGAGTTATATTATCAACATGTAGAGAGAGAGAGTTATATTATCAACATGTAGAGAGAGAGAGTGTTATATTATCAACATGGAGAGAGAGAGAGTTATATTATCAACATGGAGAGAGAGTTATATTATCAACATGGAGAGAGAGAGAGTTATATTATCAACATGGAGAGAGAGAGAGAGTTATATTATCAACATGGAGAGAGAGAGTTATATTATCAACATGGAGAGAGAGTGTGTTATATTATCAACTTGGAGAGAGAGTGTGTGTTATATTATCAACTTGGAGAGAGAGTGTGTGTTATATTATCAACATGTGGAGAGAGAGAGTTATATTATCAACATGTAGAGAGAGAGAGTGTTATATTATCAACATGTAGAGAGAGAGAGTGTTATATTATCAACATGTAGAGAGAGAGAGAGAGAGTGTTATATTATCAACATGGAGAGTGATTTTTTACCAACATGAGAGAGGGAGTAGAAAAAACAATGCAATAATATCCTTTATCAGTTGTGGTAGTCTCTTTCCATACATAAAATGTACATAATTATGAGGTGGCAGCCGAGGCACTAAGCTTCACTAACCAATAATTGATCCAAGGTTGCCATATTAAAGGGACACTATAGTCACCTGAACAACTACAGCTTAATATAGTTGTTCAGGTATGATCTATAGCTCCCTGCAGGCAATCTAATGTAAACATTGTATCTTCAGAGAAAATACAGTGTTTACATTGATTTGATAGGAATACCTCCAGTGGCCGTCACTCAGACGGCCACCAGAGGGACTTCCTATCAAGTAGGGACCTAAAAAGGCCTTGTACACGTCAGACGTATTAAAATACGTCTGACGTGTGCAGGAGAGAGAAGGCACTGTGTGCGTGCCTTCTGTCTGTCAGCAGAGGAGAGGGGGCGGGCAAAGACCGCAAGCTGTGCTGTCAGTCAGCTCAGCTCGCGCCCGCGCGCATGCGCAGTAGTGCACTCAGGATTTCAGTGCACTCATGAATGCCGCCCTCTGAAGTATGTGCGCATGTGCAGAATGACGCTTCCAAATGGAAGAGTCTGATTGCTCGCTCCCGCCTATTTCGGCATTTTGACGAAATAGGGGGCGCGGCTTCACGAGGCTCCTGGCGCTGGAACCAGGTGAGTAAAATCCTCTGCCTGGAGAGTCCCTTTAAACAAAAATGCTGTGTATACCATGCACTGTGTACTGACCACTCTTCTGCCTGTTTACTGGTATCTCTTGTGCTGTGTGTACCATGCTCTGTTTACTGATATCTCTTGTGCTGTGTGTACCATGCTCTGTTTACTGGTATCTCTTGTGCTGTGTGTACCATGCTCTGTTTACTGATATCTCTTGTGCTGTGTGTACCATGCTCTGTTTACTGGTATCTCTTGTGCTGTGTGTACCATGCTCTGTTTACTGTATCTCTTGTGCTGTGTGTACCATGCTCTGTTTACTGGTATCTCTTGTGCTGTGTGTACCATGCTCTGTTTACTGTATCTCTTGTGCTGTGTGTACCATGCTCTGTTTACTGGTATCTCTTGTGCTGTGTGTACCATGCTCTGGTATCTCTTGTGCTGTGTGTACCATGCTCTGTTTACTGGTATCTCTTGTGCTGTGTATACCATGCTCTGTTTACTGGTACCTCTTGTGCTGTGTATACCATGCTCTGTTTACTGGTACCTCTTGTGCTGTGTATACCATGCTCTGTTTACTGGTACCTTTTGTGCTGTGTATACCATGCTCTTTTTACTGGCATCTCTTGTGATACATACATACGTGTGTTCACACTCATTTCAATGCATCCCTTCAAATATCCTCTGCACCATGTGCATGTATGTCTTGCACTGCCCGACATGTATGGGTGTAATATACTTTGCACTGTGTATAATGCTGCACATGGATATATGCAAAGATTTTTAAAATTATTTTTAGAGCAGGCACACTAGAATTGTTCACAGTAGAATTATTCATTACAAAAAAGCAAACAAACTGGAATATGGTTGCTTGTTAAAGTCACATCTCCTTTGTATAATTTTAAATGTCTCTTCCCACAGGCTATGCAAACACCTACCGATGGGGTTTTAACCCCCAAAGGGACATCAAGAGAATCCAGGAACATTCCTTTACCAAGTGGTGGATTCACTAATGGAGGGTTTCATTCAGTACGTCGCAATACTCCTTTTGGCAAAGCCCCATCAAAGCGAAGGATTCCACAGAACAGCCATTTGGAGGTAGGTTTGTGTAATACTTGGAAAGAACACCTACTTGGAAAAAAATCTCTGTATACTTACAGTGGATGGGCTGAGTTATTTTGTGGTTAAACTGTTCAAAGGAAGTATCTTCAACAGCTCATAGTTACATAGCTGAAAAGAGACTTCCGTCCATCAAGTTCAGCCTTCCTCACATATGTTTTTGCTGTCGATCCAAAAGAAGGCAAAAAACCCAGTCTGAAGCGTTTCCAATTTTGCAACAAACTACGAAAAAATTCCTCCTTGACTCCAAAATAGCAGCCAGATGTCTCCTTGGATAAAGCAGCTATTGCCCCACTAATTAGAAATTATATCCCTGTATGTTATGTTTTTGCAAATATCTATCCAATTGCAGTTTAAACATCTGTATAGACTCTGACAAAACCACCTCTTCAGGCAAAGAATTCCATATCCTTATTGCTATTACTGTTAAAAAACTTTTATTTGCCTTAGATGAAATCTCCTTTCTTCCAGCCTAAATGTGTGACCTTGTGTCCTATGTATAGCCCTGTTTATGAATAGATTTCCAGATAATGGTTTGTACTGGCTGCGAATATATTTTTATAATGTTATCATATCCCCCCTCATGCGCGGTTTTTCCAAAGTAAAGAGATTTACATTTTTTAACCTTTCTTCATAACTAAAATACTCCATTCCGTTTATCAATTTTGTAGCTCGTCTCTGCACTTTTTCTAGTGCCATAATATCTTTCTTTAGAACAGGTGCCCAAAATTGCACAGCATATTCAAGATGTGGTCTTACCAGCGATTTATAAAGAAGCAAATTATATTTTCATCTCGAATTTATGCCGCTATTTATACATGACAAAACCTTACTGGCCTCAGCAATGGCAGATTGACATTGCATATTGCTGCCTAATTTGTTGTCTATAACAATTCCCAAATCCTTCTCGTGTGTGGTTATCCCTAGTTTACTACCATTTAGGGTGTAAATTGCTTGTGCATTGTTAACCCCGAAGTGCATAACTTTGCATTTCTCTACGTTAAATTTAATCTGCCATTTTAGTGCCCAGTCTCCCAATCTATCCAAATCCCTCTGCAGCAAGGCAATATCCTGCTCACATTTTATCCCTTTACAAAGTTTTGTGTCATCTGCAAACACTGATACATGGCTTTCAATGCCCATTTCAAGATCATTTATAAATATGTTAAATAGAAGCGGTCCCAAAACAGAACACTGAGGGACACCACTTACCACTTTTGTCCAGCTTGAAAATTTACCATTAATGACAACTCGTTGTACTCTATCCTTAAGCCAATGTTCTACCCAAGAACAACAATATTCATCTAGACCAATTTCTTTCAGTTTGAAGACTAACCTTTTGTGAGGAACCGTATCAAATGCCTTGGCAAAATCCAATAGATCACATCCACTGCAACACCCTGATCTATACTTCCACTTCTTCTTAGAATGCAATTAGGGTAGTTTTACATGACCTATGTTTCATAAAACCATTCTGATTATTGCTAATAACACAGTTCTTCCCAATGAATTCCTGAATATTATCCCTTAATAGCCGTTCAAATAATTTCCCAGTCACAGAAGTTAAGCTCACAGGTTTATAATTTCCAGGCAAGGATTTTGAACCCTTTTAAAATATAGGAACAACATCTGCCTTCCTCCAAGCCTCCAGTACAATACCTGAAACAAAAGAATCTTGAAAAATTAAATACAGAGGTTCACTTATTTCCCCACTTAGCTCCTTAAGTACTCGTTGGTGGATACCGTCCGGCCCCGGAGCTTTATTTACATTAATTTTTTTTAATAGCTGTAGCACCTTGTCTCAAGTTATCCAATCACAAGTTATTTGCAAGTTTGTTGCAGCAATCATTTGCTTATCTCTTGCCATAGGATCCTCATTAAAGGACCACTATAGTGCCAGGAAAACATACTCGTTTTCCTGGCACTATAGTGCCCTGAGGGTGCCCCCACCCTCAGGGTCCCCCTCCCGCCTGGCGGGATGGCGAGGAAAGGGGTTAAACTTACCTTTTCTCCAGCGCCGGTCGGGGAGCTCTCCGCCTCCGATCCTCCTCTTCGGCTGAATGCGCATGCGCGGCAGGAGCTGCGCGCGCATTCAGCCGGTCTCATAGGAAAGCATTTACAATGCTTTCCTATGGATGTTTGCGTCTTCTCACTGTGATTTTTACAGTGAGAAGCACGCAAACGCCTCTAGCGGCTGTCAATGAGACAGCCTTTAGAGGCTGGATTAACCCTAACATAAACATAACAGTTTCTCTGAAACTGCTATGTATATATATATATATTAAAAAAAAAAATAAAAAAAAAGGTTAATCCTAGAGGGACCTGGCACCCAGACCACTTCATTAAGCTGAAGTGGTCTGGGTGCCTTGAGTGGTCCTTTTAATATATACTGAAGAAAAATAGTTATTTAAAATTTCTGCCTTTTCCTGGTCTTCATTAGCTAACAGACCCATCTCTGTTTCCAGTGTACCTACACTTTCATTTTTTTTTTTTTTTCGAATTGATGTACCTGAAAAAAAAATTGGGGGTTGGTTTTGCTTTCTTTGGCTATCCATTTCTCATTTTCTAGTTTAGCCACATTAATTGCCTTTTTGCAAGTATTATTGGCTTCCTTATATCTTGTATAGGATGCCTCTGATTTGTCCAATTTAAATGCCCTTTTCTTATTTTTGAATCTCTTGTTTTACTTCTCTACTAAGCCACATTGGTTTTAATGTTTCTTTTATATTTCTTACCCAATGGTACATACTGTGAAATGTACAACAAACATGGGTGCAGTTTACAAGTAGCTGTTGATAGACCTTTTGGGCCATCTGAGTTGTTTTTTTTTTGTTTGTTTTTTTAAATAAAGGGGCAGTCTAAGCACCATTACCACTACAGCTCGCTGTAGTAATAGTACCATAAATCCTATATGCCAGGCTTCCTCAAACTCCGGCCCTCCAGATGTTGCTGAACTATAACTCCCATGGTTCTATGAAGGACATAGGCTGAGAATCCTGGGAGTTGCTCACTAGTTCTCACTAGATTGTTAGAGATATCAATTACACATCCCAATATCTCCAATGAGGGGCTAGACGAGGCGCTCCTTTAAGCTCTAAAATCGTCATCAAACATGTGAAACAGTAAGGGGGCACTCTGGACTCTACTACAACACCGTACATCTATTTAGGTATTTGATATTAATGCCTGTTTCTTAACTGTGATACTTTTGCAGGAAATACTTGACCCATCAAAGACTGCTTACATTCTGCACAAGCAGTGGAGCTTATACAGCGTGACTCCATTGCATAAATTTTCATACAAGAACTTGAAGGATTATGCCAGGCTCTTGTCTGCCCAGATCTTGGCTG